ATAGTCAAAAGTTAAGGGGGGTGTCAAAAAGTAGCATGGGGTGGGCACTACCCTGGGAAACATGTATACATGCTTTAAAAAAATCCAGTTTATTTAAATACTATGCCTGGGGATTGCCCTAATCCTTCCTGTGAAATGATGAATCTCTGTGATGTACGAAACGTGTTGCAGCATCTCTTACAGGGACAGAGGAAAAAAAAGTGTATAAAATTTTAAAAAACAGTACACAGACCCCTGCAAGGGTCTGCTATGTAGTTTGGGCGATGTTTTGGAGGAGTCTGTGAGATGTTTTTTTTTTTTTTTTCTTAAAGAAGCTGACAATGAAATGTCATTGGTCAGCAATTTTACCAGTATTTTTTTCCTTTGTAAATGTCACTTTTGCTGCAGCACATTCTACAGCAAGAATACAAAAGAGACCCTCCCAAAGTACTTATCAGGCCCTGAGTCTGGTGTGGATTTTAAAGAGGTACCTCATGCAATAAAATAAATAAATCTATAAATAAATAAATAAACAAACAAATAAATAAATAAATAAAAATGCATTTGGTCCCTAAGAAAACCTATACTAGATCCTTTGGTACCATATTGGACCCCTTCAAAGCCACTGCTATCTCTGCCCCTTTGTTTACAAGGTGGGGATTCCTGGTGATATCAACATTTCCTAGGAATGTAACTTCCTTAGTAACCAGTGACAGTAGGAAGCTGTCATATGTAAAAGCAATAGAAATACAGCTTCTAAATATATGATGCTCAGCTCCTGCCAAACAGGGGGGTCAGATGGGCAAAAGTTTGGGCCTTTGAACCATCAGCTTATCCCTACTGAGCATTGTCATCACATCTGAACAGGTCAGTCCAAACCCCAGAAACACTACTTGTATGCCAAAGTGCTCCTTTTATGTATCAGACGTTTCCATCCTGTACTACATGATTTCTGTTTCTACAATTTCTGTGGATTCTAAACATTTGTGTTTCATTTCGTAACAAATTGATTTTCGAATGACAATTTGTTTTTCAGAGATTTGGATGTATACGAATCTCTGAATGGACATAGTAACAATTGTCAATGAATCCAAAAGAGGTATAATAAAATTAACGAATGCATTTTGTTTCATTTGTATGTTGTTACATGATGTGATAGTAGTTAGGGACCATGGGGAAAGGAATTACATTTTTGAATTAATTTGATTAAAGTATATTTGTGATGTAAATTGAATTTGTAATTGTCACAGCCAGTGAGTTCAGTTCTACAGTCTAATGCAATTCTTAGGTTGGAAAAATTCGGGACCACCAAATTTTGGCCACTGATAACTACGTGATGAAATTATTATTTTAAAGTGACGGGATATATATTTTTTTGGACTTTCTTTCTTTTGCACGTGTTTCTTTTTTGAAGCACTGAATGCACAAAATATATAATATTGTGGACTTTATTGTTATAATATTTTTGCTCCGTGTTTATCATTATATACTCAATGGATCCAGCCTAAGGATGTGAAAGCTATCCAGTGATTTCTGGGGTTTTTAAAGTTCAAAAGGAAGCTCATTAAAAACTTTTCCACCATTCCCACTCATATTACTGCCTTTGGCATTCAGAGGTCACTCTCTCGGCCTTTCAAAGAACTCAAATCGGTCTCCCTCCTCTAATCTGTTGTATTCAGGTTCCTGCTTTTCCAGGAAATTCTCTAGTGAAGAAATCAACTATGATATTGGAAATCTCTAATTTTTAGCTGTCGAGTGGGCTTTGAAGGAGTGGAAAAATTTGTTGGAGGGGGCTTGCCATTTGTGGTCTATACAAATTAAAATAATTTAGTATACATGAAGACAGTAAATGCAATAAATTCCAACAGGCCTGCTGATCCCTTTTCTTCACTTATTTTGATTTTACTTTTACTTACCACTCTGTCTGTCACCAACAACTGCAAAGCAGATGCCCTCTCTCGCATCTTTGAGCCTTATTCCAAAGATTTCTACAACATTTTTTCTCCTGCTCAGATCTTGGCCATTTTTTTTACCCTGATCTATCTGCTTCCATATTCAAAGTTCAGTGTGATGCCCCATCCAACTTTCCTTTTGGAAAGTTATATGTTCCGCTTCACCTCAGGATCAAGATTCTACCTGGAAGAATGATGCCAAAATGGTCAGAAACCCAGGTTCACCCTACGGTACACTCCATTGTCTTGAACAAAGGTAAGTAGTTTTCATCTAAGTTTTGAAAAGATTTTTTTCACTTTGACAGGCACCAGCCTGTCTTTCTAATGAGCCAGTTGCTTGAGATATATCACCACTGCTGTGTTTTGGGCAGACAACTGGACTGGACCTCAGCTTTGCCTTGGGCTAAGCTTCCCTATGGCCTAACTCCTCCACAGGAGTTTCTATTTTTACTGTGTCTATGGCTCCCATCCTAAATTCTGTTCTGTCCTTTTTCTTTTCTGACATACTGTATATAAATAAAAAGCAGGTGAGGCACACATATTCTTATATAGGATGAAGGTAACTGGCAGGCTTTAAACTGTCACACAAACATGTCAATCCAAGAAAATCACTGCATTCAAAAACCTCTTGTTCAATATGTTGAATTTTTTCCAGGTATAACAATTGCACAACAGTTTTTAGTGTTCCTGCTCTTTATCAGGTGCATGTGTAATCACAATTACTTAAGGTTCACTGAATAACATTTGAGGGCAGAAGTCACACAATTCTAACAGGTCAAAATCCACCCAGATAGGGTTCACATACTGCATATGTATACTAAATAACTAGCAACATACAGTGAAAGCTATCATGGATTATAGAAAAGTAATTTTACTCCAAAGATATAGTGTTACATTTCTAGTTCATATTCAATAGTAAATAGTAAACAAAAAGCATTGCATATGTCAGAGAACAGAACTTCCACAATAATCTTCCTCACTCTCTTGTCAGCTGTCTAAATATCGAGATCAAAACATCAGTCTTACATAAATTTAAATCATAATCCTCCACACCTGATGTTAATCTCCCACACTTGACGAACAGCGGGGATGCTCATAACTGTTGTGCAATTGTTATACCTGGAATACATTCAACACATTGAGCAAGACATTTTGAAATATGGTAGATTATAAATATACTGTATACAGTATATACAGTATATATACAGTGGCAAGGAAAAATATGTGAACCCCTTGGAATTAACTGATTTTCTGCAGTAATCTGCCATAAAAAGTGATCTGATCCTTATCTTAATATCAACAAAAGTGCAGCGCTAAATAATAAAGTTTGAAAAATGTCCACTATAAGTCTAATTCATAAAAACGTGCCAGATAACAAGTAGGAATCAATGGTGGTGATCCGTGAAGAAAAGCAGAAATGCGCACTCACCAGAAGACAGATATAAGTAAGCAGTATGCATCAAAGCCCATGGATCCTCAATCAATGAGAAAACTGGTCTGGTCAAAATGGGTTGATCTTCCCTCAAGGATGCAGAGCTTATCCAAAACAGATCCAGGTAGCCAGAGGTCTCCTACAGCTGGATGGACGGAAGGGGTCACCTGCTTACAGGGGGTCTTCCTCCTCTTGGTAAATGCCTGAATTCTTAGTAAAGGACTCTGCAAAAAGGTACTCCTCTATTTTTAATCCACTCCAGGCACGTGATCCTGCAGCTCCAGCTCCCCTGTGTCAGTGACTGCCTGCTGCAGGAGAGAAGGCAGGACCAACAATGGCCATTGTTGGTCCTGCCTTCTCTCCTGCAGCAGGCAATCACTGACACAGGGGAGCTGGAGCTGCAGGATCATTTGCATCCTTGAGGGAAGATCAACCCATTTTGACCAGTTTTCTCCTTGATTGAGGATCAATGGGTTTTGATGCATACAGCTTACTTATATCTGTCTTCTGGTAAGTGCGCATTTCTGCTTTTCTTCACGGATCATCACCATTGATTTCTACTTGTCATCTGGCACGTTTTTATGAATTAGACTTATAGTGGACATTTTTCAGACTTTATTATTTAGCGCTGCACTTTTGTTGATATTACTCTGTTCAAGTATTTATTGGTTACTTAGAGTGCTTAGCTGATTTTTTGGATTAGCGCTCACTCTTTTATTATATACATGGTGATCCTTATCTTAGTCACAATAGACAAACACAATGTGCTTAAGCTGATAGCACGCAAGCAACTCTAATTTGTCATATCCTTATTGAACACACCCATTCATGGGCTGGAGGAAAAAGTAAGTGAACTCATAGATTTATTACTTCAAGGAAAGCTAATTGGAGTTGGTAATTTGCACACCTGGAGTCCAATTAATGAAATTAGTTTGAAGGTGTGATGTAAAGTTAATTTGATTGATAAAATACACTTAAACATTTCACACACCAACCCCTCCCTCCTATGTGCCCTCTGGAATGCCCGCTCAGCCTCTAACAAAATCTCTACTATCAATGACCTCTTTCTCTCAACCTTCTTACTATTACTGAAACCTGGCTCCAGAAATTTGACTCTGTCTCCCTAGCTGCACTCTCCCATGGCAGCCTCCTCTGGACTCACTCGCCCAGACCCAGTGGACAAAAAGGGGGCGAAGTTGGACTTCTTCTTTCCCCACAAACCAGGTTCTTCCTGCACTTTCGTCTCTGTCCCTCCGCTCTTTCAAAGTGCACTGTATTTGTCTCTTTTCTACCATTTGTCTGAGGATCGCAGTCATCTACCAGCCCCTGAGCCCAGTTTCACGCTTTCTCGATAACTTTTCAGCATGGCTACCGTACTTTCTCTCCTCTGAGGTGCCTGCCATCATCCTCGGGGACTTTAACATCCAAGTCAATGCTCACACCCCTGCCATCTCTCAACTACTAAACCTAACTTCCTCTTTTAACCTAACACAATGGTCACAATTAGAGATGAGCGAATTATTCAAAAATTCGATTCGGCTGATTCGGCGAATTCGCGGAATAAATTCGATTCGAGTTGAATATATTCGCTGCGAATTTAACTTATAAAAAGGGTGTTTCTAGGCTTCAGAGAGCCTTTATATTAGTGCAGAACACTGTACCTTTAATTTAAATGCCCTTGGAGTCTGCTGGGGAAGAGAAATAATACTGTCAGTCAGTATGACATGCAGATGAGTGCAGTCGATCTTAGAATCACCGCACACTTCACTCATTTGGGCAGTCACGGGGCCAAAACCAGAGTGTGGAGCCACAGTGTGGCGGTGGAGGCAGCAGCAATGGGAGGCCATACAGCACCCTATGAAAAAATGGAACCCACCAGCAGTGTGAGGAGACCTGAAAGTGGCACATGGCAGAGTGTGTGGCGATGGAGACAGCAGCAATGGGAGGCCGTACAGGGACCCATGACACACTCTGGACCTGGCAGCAGCATGAGGAGGTGGTACAGGGGCCCATGACAGATTACGGGCCTGGCAGCAGCATGAGGAGTCGGTACGGGGGCCCATGGCAGATTACGGGCCTGGCAGCAGCAATGGGAGGCCGTACAGGGACCCATGACACACTCTGGACCTGGCAGCAGCATGACGAGGCGGTACAGGGGCCCATGACAGATTACAGGCCTGGCAGCAGCATGAGGAGTTGGTACGGGGGCCCATGGCAGATTACGGGCCTGGCAGCAGCAATGGGAGGCCCGTAATCTGCCAGCACCCTATGACAAAATGGAACCCACCAGCAGCAGTGTGAGGAGACCTGAAAGTGGCACATGGCAGAGTGTGGCGATGGAGACAGCAGCAATGGGAGGCCGTACAGGGACCCATGAGAACACTCTGGACCTGGCAGCAGCATGAGGAGGCGGTACAGGGGCCCATGACAGATTACTGGCCTGGCAGCAGCATGAGGAGTCGGTACGGGGGCCCATGGCAGATTACGGGCCTGGCAGCAGCAATGGGAGGCCCGTAATCTGCCAGCACCCTATGACAAAATGGAACCCACCAGCAGTGTGAGGAGACCTGAAAGTGGCACATGGCAGAGTGTGGCGATGGAGACAGCAGCAAAGGGAGGCCGTACAGGGACCCATGACACACTCTGGACCTGGCAGCCATGAGGAGGCGGTACAGGGGCCCATGACAGATTACGGGGCCTGGCAGCAGCATGAGGAGTCGGTACGGGGGCCCATGGCAGATTACGGGCCTGGCAGCAGCAAAAGGGAGGCCCGTAATCTGCCAGCACCCTATGACAAAATGGAACCCACCAGCAGTGTGAGGAGACCTGAAAGTGGCACATGGCAGAGTGTGAGTGTGGCGATGGAGACAGCAGCAATGGGAGGCCGTACAGGGACCCATGACACACTCTGGACCTGGCAGCAGCAAAGAGGAGGCGGTACAGGGGCCCATGGCAGAGTGGCGAAGCGTAAGCAGCTTAAATTGAAGGGCCACAGAGGCCTATGTTAAAAATAATAACATGTTTGGGGCATGATTCATGGCGGATTTAGTCAGTTGTGTCAGGAACTGGTGGGTTTGAAATCCAGACTAATCCACGCCTGATTCATTTTCACAAACGTGAGAGTCTCTCTCCACACTTTGTGGGTGGACAGTCGTGTCCTCCGCGGAGTTACAATACCTCCTGCCGCACTAAAAACACACGCGCTCCGATGCCACGCTACTGGCCGGGCATGACAGCCTTTCAAGGGCAAATTCAGCTAGTTGGGGCCAAAGGTCAAGTTTCGTTGCCCAGTAGTCAAGGGGATTGTCTACCTCGGTTGGCAGGGTGCTGTCCAAGTAGGCCCAAGCCTGTTGTTTGAGGTCCTGCTCCAGGTCCACCTGATGATGCTGCTGCTGCTGCGGCTGGTTAGTAGTTTCCTCACTGCGCTGGTGAAGAAAGCTACTCATCATCGACTGCAGACTGAGGCAGCCGCTGCTGGTGGAGCTGCCACTGCTCCTACCACCCCACCCCTCCCCTGCTGCCATGGCAGCGGAACGCGAGCGCACAGGGCCCACAGTGTCTGAGGATGGACGTTGGCGCAGAAAGGCAGAGACCAACTGACTACATAGGTGGTTTTTATAGTACGTTATTTTGGCCTCCCTCTCAGCAGGTGTGAAAAAGGCCACCATTTTTGAACGGTAGCGAGGGTCCAACAAGGTGGACAGCCAAAAGTCATCCCTCTGTCTGATGGTTATTATTCGGGCTGTCGCTACGCAAGCAACCGAGCATGCTATGGGCCATTTGTGCCAAGGAATGCGAGGGACTCCCTGCCTCCATCTCCACAGCATACTGCCACGGTGCGTCTGGGTCCTCTGTCTCCTCCTCCTCCTCCTCTACCAGATGCTCCTGCTCCTCCACTCCTGTCCGCTGAGTGGAAAAACCACCCATTTCACTCAATAATTCCTGAGCACCAATGTCCTCCTCTACCTCCTCCTCTTCTTCCTGTCCTGCCCCCACAGGGGTCATGTGGCGTTGAGATCTGTGCGCCACGTCTACCGCACCCTGACCAGCCATTGTTAACAGCATTTGTTCCAGGACGTGCACAGAGAGGAATGACGTCGTTCATCATCCCATAGTCCTGCCGACTCACGAATAGCGTGGCCTCCTCAAAGGGCCTGAGCAAGCGGCAGGTGTCACGCATGAGCTGCCAATGGCTGACATCTAAGTTACACAGGGGAGTACCTTTATCCGCTTGTAACATCAGGAAATCGGTGATGGCCTTTCGCTGTTCGTAAAGGCGGTCTAACATATGTAGGGTTGAATTCCACCTTGTTGCAACGTCGCAGATCAGCGATGCTGTGGAATTCCGTTCTGCCGCTGCAGCTCAAGGAGGGTGTGCTTTGCGGTGTAGGAATGGCTGAAATGCATGCAAAGTTTACGTGACATTTTAAGGATGTCTTGCAGTGGGATGGGTGGATTTTAGGAACCGCTTGACAACCAGATTGAACACGTGAGCCATGCATGGCGCATGGCACAACCTTCCTTGACGCAGAGCAGACACCATGTTCTTTCTTTCCGTTGTCGGTCAACATGGTTCCGATTTTCAGTTTGCGCGGAGACAGCCATCTGTCGATTTCTCTGTTCATTACACTCAGAAGTTCCTCCCCCTGTGTGACTACGTTCGCCAAGGCATACCAGGTGCAGCACAGCGTGACACCGTTGCGCCCTGCACATGTGATATGCCGGTCGGGTAATGGGACTTGGCACGGGGGTGGCGGCTGAGGACACGGCGGAAGAAGAGGTGGTAGAGGCGGACATCTTTGCTGGACCAAGGACGTGCAAACGTGGAGGCAAAAGCGGCGTGACCTGTCCAAGTTGCTGGGTGCGGCTGTGCCGGCACCACGTTCACCCAGTGGGCCGTAAATGACATGTACTGTCCCTGACCGTAGTTACAGCTCCACACGTCGGCGCTGCCGTGCACTTTGGGCAGAGACCGACATGCTCAAAGATGGCTCAAAGACTGGCCCACCATCTCTTCTACATGTGAATGCAGGGCTGGCACTGCCTGCCTTTTTTGGCGAAGAAATGCCGGCTTGGCACTCTCCACCGCGCGGCGCGGCACAAGCCATCATTTCTCGGAAAGGTGCTGAGTCCACCACTTGGAAAGGGAGGGACTGCAGCACCAGCAACTTGGACAGGAGGACGTTCAGCTTCTGCACCGTCGGGTGCGTGTGCTCGCAAACTGTTGTCTCTCTTGGAAACGGATTCCAAGAAAGACTGCTGACGGAATCCGTGAAGAGGAGTAGCAGGAGAAGGAGCATCTGAACGAGCGGAAGATGCCAACGAGCGACAACTCCCCTCAGCAGCAGAGGTGTTGGAGCCTTGACTGGCTGATAGAGGGCGATTGACGTCGGGTGACGGAGCAAGTAACGGAGCGGGTGATGGAGCGGGGGCTGGGGCAGGCAGGCAGAACCGCCGTATCTTTATCACGGTTTTCCCAGGCCACCGAATGGCGACGCGCTGCATATGCTGACGCAACGCTGTAGTCCCAAACATGGGCCCCCCTGGCCACGCTTGACTTTCTGGCCACATAGTCGACATACGGCTACGTTTACTTCCTCGGGGCGGCTTGACGAAAAATTGCCACACACCGCCGAGTAGGAAACTTTGCCCCCGCTACTATACTCCTCACTCACTGGCTGACTGCTACTTCCTCCGTGCACACCGGCACCACTACTGGCCGTGGTGGTAGGCTGCAGTGGAGCTGGTGCTCTACTCCGTGGCCGTTTGCCTCCACTGACACTGCTGCGACCCTGCTGCCTGCTCTCCTGGCAACCCACCGACTGTTTTGCTCGCTGCCAAGCTGGCACCCTCTTCTCCTGATGATGCGGAAGCAATAGCCTGATGACGACGAGCTGCCAAGTGCGATCAGCCTCATCATCATCAATTAGGGTCTCCCGCCTCACTACTAGCCCCCTCGGCTGCGTGTGGGTCAGGAGACAGACCCTGTCTCTAGACCGGCTACCGAGCCACTCTCCTCGCCAGTACTTCTTCGCCTGGCTGCTGAAGAGGCGGATGTCTCCCCCCGTTCCTGACCGCCCTCTGTTAGCTCTCTTCCTCACTGTACAGTGGGGCTGAGCCCACAGCATGCGATACTTCGCTTGGTGAGGGAACACCAAAGGACAGGGGCAGGTAGAGGACACGTGATTTCAGTGGGCTTGCTCCCGGGCCATGCCAACTAACGGTTGTGTCTGACGTACCCACCGACCGTTGGCTGTAGGTGTCAGAGGTGACCTGGGAAGAGGAAGACGACCGAGCCACCAACCAATCGATGACGGCAGGGTTGTCGGTGGAGACACGACCGCTGGATGACACCGGGAGCACTGGCCCTCTGGCTGCGACTAGTGCTGCCTCGACCCCTTCCTCTGCTGCCACGTCTGCTCGCTCCTGAAACATTGCCTCCTCTGCCACTCCTCTGCGTGTTGTCTGACATACTCTTTAATTCAAATTCCCTGAGTAACGATTCTGTGTCCCTGAGTAACGATTCTGTGTCCCTGAGAGTAACAATTCTGTGTCCCTGAGTAACAATTCTGTGTCCCTGAGTAACGATTCTGTGTCCCTGAGTAACAATTCTGTGTCCCTGAGTAACTGTGTCCCTTTCTGTGTCCCTGAGTAACGATTCTGTGTCCCTGAGTAACAATTCTGTGTCCCTGAGTAACAATTCTGTGTCCCTGAGTAACAATTCTCTGTGTCCCTGAGTAACAATTCTGTGTCCCCTGAGTAACAATTCTGTGTCCCTGAGTAACAATTCTGTGTCCCTGAGTAACGATTCTGTGTCCCTGAGTAACAATTCTGTGTCCCTGAGTAACAATTCTGTGTCCCCTGAGTAACAATTCTGTGTCCCTGAGTAACGATTCTGTGTCCCTGAGTAACAATTCTGTGTCCCTCAGAGTAACAATTCTGTGTCCCTGAGTAACGATTCTGTGTCCCTCAGTAACAATTCTGTGTCCCTGAGTAACAATTCGATTCTCTGTGTCCCCTGAGTAAATTCTGTGTCCCTGAGTAACGATTCTGTGTCCCTGAGTAACGATTCTGTGTCCCCTGAGTAACAATTCTGTGTCCCTGAGTAACAATTCTGTGTCCCTGAGTAACAATTCTGTGTCTGTGTCCCTGAGTAACAATTCTGTGTCCCTGAGTAACAATTCTGTGTCCCTGAGTAACAATTCTGTGTCCCTCAGTAACAATTCTGTGTCCCTGAGTAACAATTCTGTGTCCCTGAGTAACAATTCTCTGTGTCCCTGAGTAACAACAATTCTGTGTCCCTGAGTAACAATTCTGTGTCCCTGAGTAACAATTCTGTGTCCCTCAGTAACAATTCTGTGTCCCTGAGTAACGATTTCTGTGTCCCTGAGTAACAATTCTGTGTCCCTGAGTCCCTGAGTAACAA